ACGTAAGATTTGCGTCTTACGTGCACCCAGCTCTTACAAACGGCTGTGCCAGCAGAATGGATGCAAGTATTGTGAGAGGGGGGGAAACAACTGCACGCTACTTGGGACAGGGCTTTCAGGCATGTGTTGATGGCAATCAAACGGTGCAGAATAGGGTCCCTGAGAAGTTAAGAGGTGCAGGCTCATGACACATGCATGTGCGTAGGACACCACGGTAAGTTGGAGAAGGCATCAGTGGATGGAGAGAAGTGATCGTTTTTTTAGACCACTGGAAGTTCTGCTAAATAAATGGTTGGCCTGTTCATCCCACCAGCATCTTCTGTAAATTTGGGTAGTGTTTCAAAACCCGTTGGCCCGGGAAGAATGGTGGGACCATTGGGTTCACCAAGGATAGCACTGGCTCCAACATCCCACCTTCAAGAGGCCGTGCCGGCATGCGGAAGGGCCCAAGTTCAATCCTGACATCTCCATTTCAAGGGTCTCCGTAGAGGCTGGCGAAACCCCTTCTCTGCCTGAGATCCCAGAGAGCCAATCGGCAGGAAACAGCACAAAGCCCTCCGAATGACATTTTCATATATCTGGTGGCTTTGTTAAGGTGTACCTGACCTCATCAGATCTCGAAGCTAAGCAGGGATGGGAGCTCTACAAGAAAGCCCAGGGTTGTGACGCAGCGGCAGGCAATGACAAGCTGCCTCTGAACATCTTAAAAACCTTACAGAGTCGCCATAAGCTGTGACTTCACGACAGTTTTCTCCACGACCACCACCACGCATCCGTCCTGTCTTGATTCTTCTTCCCACTCCTTTCCTTTATGCTGGGCCGGCTTCTCGGTGTACTAGAAGCTGTGGCCTGAGCCTCAGAACCTTGTTTTTATGACTGTGTTCAGCCATTAGATATGCTAATATACTGGAGTTGGGTGGCACCATTTTGGAATGGGAAACTGAGACTTCCATGTAAGGTGATAACTCCTGGACGTCTTTCTCAACCTGAGAACCCTCTCTGTCTACCAGCCCAATGATAGTCATTTCCCCAGCACGGGACAGCTTTTCACTCTACCCAGGAGATTACCGAGGTAGTTATTTAAAACCCTGGAAGCATCCAGGTGGTTATGCCAAGCATCTTCTAACACCTGGGAAGGTGGCTGGATCTTCCAGCTCAAAACCTAACCAAGGAATGCACGATCACCAGGGAACGCTGCACTGGAAAGAAGCACTTCCCGTGGTTATTATAATAGAAAAAGGGTGCTTCAGTATGACAGCGACAACATTCATTGCTGTCCTAACAAGCCTTTGAAGTCTGCAAACATTCCGGATAAGGATTGCAGTCCCGATATTAACGCAGGCATGCGAGTAATCATTGCTTTATTCCTTACTAACGTTAAAGAAACAATCCTCTGTGTTTTTCTTTGTACTAGCCAAGGTTCATACTAACCAATAAGCCACACGCCTTTTCCTTCATTGCGGCTTTGGGGATCCTGCCGTAGTTCATCTCTCCCGGGTCGTTACCGGCTATTGGAAATGTTACTGTTTTATTTTCCAGAGAGAGAAAGATGCTTCTTCCTTGCCGCTCTTCTGCCTTTGTTGAATTAAGCTCCCTATTGGAATTAGGGTTGTTTTGCACACGATGAAATTATAGTTTGTGTATTGCTTTTGGTGCTGTTACGTTTTACTGCAGAGAACTTAAAACTTAGAACAAACGGAGAGAGGGAGCTTAAAATATGGCAAACATGGAGCTATCGGTTTGGTTTCCACATGTCAACCCAGGGGGGGTGGGGCTGAGCAGGAACGACTGGCCGGTGGTCACCCGGCGAGCTTCGTGACTTGAGCACAGATGTAAAATATGACTCCTCTCTGACCACTGTGCCACCTGTAAAATTGCCCAGCAATGCGAGTTACCCATGGTTGAGGAAGGTTTGGAAATGCAAGTTGGGTTGGTTGACAATCGCACGATCACCCACCTCCCAGGGTTTCTGTTGTGGGGAGGGGAAGGGAAAGGAGTTTGTGAGCCGCTCTGAGACTCCTTCGGATAGTGAAGGGCGGGGTATAAATCCAATCTCTTCTTTTCTGGGCGGATACATGGGGGAAAGACCGTTTTCGTTTATGCAAAATATATGTGTGTTTGTGTGATACATCAGATACAGATCATGTTCTGCACAGGTGTAGGATGTTCATCTCATCTGCCACAGGTCTTTCCACTCCCTCACAGTGCCTTAAGTTTCCATGTGCTACAGATGTGGGTAGATATGCAGGGAGAAGCCACTAGCTTCGTGTGCTCATAAATGTCTATTTGCCGATAGACCACCTTCAATAGTAAAGAGACCCAAGTGCTCTAAAGCAGTGGTCTTTAACCTTTCCAGACTCAGGGCCCCCTTTTAACCCCAAGTGGCCATATGACAGGAAGTCACGTGGCACTTCTGTCATATGACAGGAAGAGGAAGAACCTGCCTGTGGTGGTGAAGAATCCTCTCCCCCATTGACCTGGGCTTGCTATCCTGCAGCTTTTGCCAATGTTCATGCAGAGAGACAGAAAAGACGGCACGACACGTTTGCTTTCTGCGCCCATGCGCTAGCAGCACATCATGATGTGAAACAGCAAGAAAGCAGCGGGTCTGTGGAAGCTTGCTCCACAACCAACCTGAGAGTCCCGGCGCACGGACTGAAGATCCCTGTTCTAAAGAGCGCCACGGTGCACCTTTTCGAGTTGCTCCTTGTACTAGGAAGATAGATGTTCAAATAAAGAAGCGTGCGGAGAGCAGCTCTCCTCTCCCAGGTGTCTCTCAGACACCTATGGATGCAGAGGACTCTTCAGGCCGAAATCTGATGTGGGGTGTGAGCATTTTTCATGTTTTTGGCATGCCAAAGACACCACCATAGTCTCAGTTATGTGTATCTGGGGTCTTTGAGAGCCAGTTTGGTGTGTGGACTCTAATCTGGGAGAACCGGGTTTGATTCCCCACTCCTCCACTTGCCCCTGCTGATGTGACCTTGGGTCAGTCACAAGCTCTGGCACAGCTGTCCTTGAAAAAGAGCAGTTTGTGTCAGAGTTCTCTCAGCCCCACCCACCTCACAGAGTGTTTGTTGTGGGGAGGGGAGGGGAAAGGAGTTTGTAAGCCGCTCTGAGACTCCAAGTGAAGGGCGGGGTATAAATCCCATCTCTTCTTCTTCTTCTTTGAGTCATTGCATCCAGTTTTACAGCTGGTTGGGTACCCATCACGATGATAGTTCCCAGCTTCTTTATGGAAAGTGTTCTGCGGTGAGCAGCCGTCTCGTTGCACAGCAGAATGCGACAAGGAGACGAGCGCCGTCTCCTGTGTCTCCCTTTCCCAAGAGGCCCACCACATTTTAAAAATGGATGGCATTTGGGGTCTGAAAAAGTTCAGGCAGCATTGATGTCGGATGGAAGTCACGCAGGCCTATTGCCGGGTAGATCCTTCCGCGCTTCCCGTCTGAATTCCTTCCTCGTCGAGGCAGTCATCGCAGTGAGTCAGGCCCCGTCATTAGATCAGTGAAGCCTTGTGTGGTCAAGGAGGCTGTTGAGGTTGAGAGTAGGTACTGGAGAGGGAGGGAAAATGACAGTTTGGACAAGTGAGGGACCCGGGACAGGCAGGTGAGACAGAAGAAGATGAAGATGAAGAAGATGAAGAAGAAGAAGATGATGATGAAGAAGATGATGAAGAAGATGATGATGATGATTGGATTTATACCCCGCCATTCACTTGGAGTCTCAGAGCGGCTTACAAACGCCTTTCCCTTCCCCTCCCCACAACAGACACCCTGTGAGGTGGGCGGGGCTGAGAGAGCTCTGACAGAAACTGCTCTTCTTCAAGGACAGCTGTGCCAGAGCTTGTGACTGACCCAAGGTCACATCAGCAGGTGCAAGTGGAGGAGTGGGGAATCAAACCCGGTTCTCCCAGATTAGAGTCCACACACTTCACCACTACACCAAACTGGCTCTCAATTACACCAAATTGGCTCTCTAAGGTGGGAGTAACAGTGCCATCCTAAGCAGAGTGACTCCCACCTAAGCACTGGGGCTTAGACTCAGATAACATAGCATAGAACTGCACACTAGATCTAGTTGATGGGCCCTCGGAGGTTAAGACACTGAGCGGCAAGACCGGAAGGTCGGTAGCTCGGCAGTTCGAGACCCTGGTGCCATGTGACAGAGCGAGCTCCCAGCTCCTGCCAGCCTACCAGTTCAAAAGCAAGAAATTGCAAGTAGATAAATAGGTACCGCTTCGATGGGAAGGTGACAGCATTCCGTGCGCCTCGGCATCTAGTCATGCCGGCCACATGACCATGGAAATGACTTTGAACAGCGCTGGCTCTACGGCTTGGAAATGGAGACAAGCACCGCAACCCTAGAGTCAGATTCAACTGGCTTTCGAGCAAGGGAAACCTTTACCTTTTTAAGCCCATTGAAATCAATAACCTTAGACTGGAATAACATGGCCTCTAAGACTGCATTTCTAGTTGATGGGTCCTGAGTTACTCCTGCCTAAGCCCATTGAAATCAGCGGCCTTTGACTGGAATAACATCGCCTAGAATCGGCCATCTAGTTGAACGGGTCCTGTTAGCACAGGGCTATGCAATCGGTAGGCCAGTGTCTAGATCCCAAACGCACACGTTTTTACGCTGCCGTTCCCCCGAGGCACTCTAGGCGGCGTCTCTCTCTAATGCATTCATTTTGTTGTCGCATCTCAGGTTCTTTGCCAGGGAAGGGTGCTTGAGTGGAGAGGACAGTGGCTGGATGCTGCCTGCCCTCTCCCGCCATTGCTGCGGCAACCTCTGTAAGCTTTGTAAAAATGTCGAAACGGCCAACGCCAGAGGGTATGCCCGATCGGCAAGGAGGATGCATGTAAGCTAGGAGATCCCGCATCTGTGCACCGGAGATTAGCATTGCTTTTTCAACCGGCCATCGGCTGCGTTGGGGGGAGAAGGGGGAAAGCCGGTCCCTCCTGCTAATGTGCCCTTTTCCTTCCCTGCCCCCTCCCCCTCAGCTTACTGAGACAGGCACAGGTCTCAGCTGCTTGGACTCCGTGTGCTGCGTCTCAGACGGGGAAACAGCGTGCGCATCTCTTAGAAGAATGTTGGAACGAGTGATGGGAAGGTGCAGCCCGGCCCGAGTCAACAGGTGTGGAATTTCTCTCAATTGCTTATGCTGCAGACGATTCTCCTATAAACTGGAACACGACGAGCCTGCGGCTGTAGATGTCTAGCAAAACGGCAGCAGGTCTCGTTCAATTCATTGGGATCTTTAAAAATCAGCTTATTTGCTTTGGGGGAGCGCTGCTGATGGGGAGAAAAATAAGGGAAGTTACTTCTTTCTTCCTTTTTCCTGAAAGCTTGTGGAATTACTTTCTTCCCGGTGACGTCTTCTCTCTAATCCAGCGATTCGCCTGTGCTGACTTTGACACTCGCATGAAGCTTCACACGAGCCGAGGCTCTCCCGTTCTCTGCGGTATCTGCCAGGGATCAGAATGGAGAGCTTCTGCTTGTGCGCAGCTTCACGTGTGTGCCACAGGCCCGTGGAGCTTCACATTGCATCCCCTTTTGTGTGTGCATACACAGATACACCCGTGTGGAGCTTCGTTTTGTGTTTACATACACAAAAGCAGCTGCATGGAGCTTTACATCATCACATCGCTTTGTGTGTGCGTGCACAGATACAGCCCTCTCCCTCTGTTTTGTACCTCCTCCTTTTCCTTGAAGTTTGATCACTGCCTACTTTATTTTCCTGATTTAACCTTCTCTGATCTTCACAAATCTGCAAGACATCAACAGGCCTGCCTTTGACTGATCCCTGTGTCTGCAGTGACGGTTCACGTTGCCGCTTCTGCTTCTGCCATTAAAGGATTGTATTTTCTCCCCTGAACTAGAACGTCCTTGGCAAAAGGAAAAGTTTTAGGGTGTTTTGCTTTTGAGGGATTCTTTTTGTGTGTTTCATTGGCAGTGAAAAACATTTTAAAAAAACAACAATATGGAATAGTACTTTTATACTCTTTTTTAAAAAACGAAACAAAAAAACCTAGACAGCCAAAGCCTTCCAAACTTCTGACGAAAAAGCGAGTTGGGCCTTTTCTACTTCTGCTGTTGCTTGAGTGCCGTTCAGAAATACGTGCCACACGTAGACAACCTAAAATCAAACAGCGAACCCTCCCTTCCGAAAAAGCTCTGATGCCGATCTCCGAAAATTCTGATTGTCTCCAGCGATTCTGCAATTCGCAGAGTCGAATCCTTGCACTGGCCGGGCGGGTGTGGGAGCGACAGAGAGCCAAATGACTCGAAATTTGAGCCGTTCCATGAACTGCCTTTGGCATCTGATGCCCGGAAACGCTTCCGATTGACATGACAGCGTGCCGCTGCTTAACGCCAAGCCCAGAGACATGTCTCTCTCTTTCTCGTAAGAGGATCGAGTGGTGCTCTCAAGCATCTGCCAAGAGTGTATATGTATATATTTTGCCACCTAGCTTTGGCACTTCCAGTTGGAGACACATCCAGCAGGGCAGCTCTTTTGGCTGATGCGAGGGCAGCAAAGACAATCCCCTCCGCTAGCTAATGCTGAGTTGCGGGGGGGGGACACAAAGGCAGGCGTGGCATCTACACAAACACTACCCTCCAGTTGATTTTGAGACGCCCCTCAGGTGGGCTTCCACTCTTTTGGGTTCCAGCAGAAGCCTGAAAAATCCCAGATAGGTTGATAGCGGCCGTTGTAAGGGTAGAAGCTGCAACATCCTTTGTGTGACTGAAAACAAATAATGGATCTGCTGTGCCAGTACTGTCTGTCCTGACTTTACTTTCCTGTGTTACTTTTGTCCTCTGTCGTTTGTTTCTCTGTTTCGTCTTTTTATAAAAAAAAACAACAAAAAAACACGAATACTTGCATTAACCCTGATGTCTGTGGCTCCCTCACTGACGTTTTTGTTGAAATGAGTAAGTTCATTTTTATAATAATATAAAATATATATTTTTAAAAACTCACGTGGTATAGAAAGCAGGCACGAGCGTTATGAAATAAAAGTTTTACTAGACTTTTTTTTTTAAAGAAGATATACTTTCGGATGGTCTGACACTTAACCTTCCTGTCGCAGTTGCTGCTTAAATATAGTTTTGCCTCTTGGTTATTTCCGGCTTGCAAAATGCCTGCCATTATGACGAGAGGAGAATATGTGTATGGAGGGAGGGCCTGTAGATTGCAGGGATTGGAGGTGTCTCCCTCCAGATGGCACCTGGAGGTTCCCCGCTATTACAATGGATCTCCAAACAACCAAGATAAGTTCCCCTGGAAAAAAATGGCTGCTTTGGAGGGTGGACTCTGTGGCAATATACCCTGCTGAGGTCCCTCCCCTTCCCAAATCCTACCTTCCCCAGGCTCCACCCCCAAAACCTCCAGGTATTTCCCAACCCAGAGCTGGCAATCCTGGCAGGGATACTTGGGGGGGGGGTGCAGTGTATCTCATACAACAACAACACCCCCGTCGGTAACAGGTGACACATCTGGTGTCAGGAGCGGTGGGTACATAAGAACATAAGAGACGCCAATGTTGGATCAGGCCAAAGGCCCATCCAGTCCAACACTCAGTGTCACACAGTGGCCAGAAATACCAGGTGCCATCAGGAGGTCCACCAGTGGCGGATTGAGTTTCTTGACACTCTTAATGACTGTGCTATGGAGCAGATGTTCACAGAATCTACCAGGGGAGAGGCGATCCTGGATTAGGTCCTAAGCAGGGGTCGTTTCATAGAAAAAGAGCTAGG